TCTGGCGTGGAATTCGTCCGAAAATGTGACGGGCCTCGGTGACAAGCGACGAATCGACGCTAAATGATTTTACGACTGTTATTAGCCGTGCAAGCGTTTCCTCCTTGAATTGGATCCAAAATAGTTTTTCTCCTTACTCGTACAATTGATTGCCAATGAAAAGCCCATATTCTGTGATACAGCTGGTTGCCTAGGCAAATGATGACCGCTTCAATCAAAGCTGAAGTGTCTGTCCCCTCAGGGCAAAGGTGTCACGTCGCTTCAGCGGCAACGAGCTGTTTTTGTTTCACACTCCAGCACGATTTTAACCTCGTTGATAATATTCGCGCGCTGCTATGCAGTACGCAAGATCCTTCTTCTTCGTATAATGTATGCTAATCGATTTTTGAAGGGCTTCCTTTGGCTCATGTGTAAGTAGGCACAGTTAAATCGTGGTGTGTTTTCAGGCAGTCTCCCTGGGTTTTGGTATCGCCGTCTCAGGTGGTCGCGATAATCCACATTTTACCTCTGGCGACCCGGCTGTCGTGATCTCGGACGTCGTGCCAAACGGACCGGCCTGGGGACTGCTTCAGTGCGTTTTTCCATATTTTCGTACTTTCTTTTTTTTTTTCTGGTAATTTGTTTCATTTTCTGTTTCTGGTCTCATAGAGCTTCTGGCAAGTGAGGAGTTCATCAAAAGAGCATTGATTTGTGTGTAGACCTCTTGGCGCGTGGGGCTGAACAGCTAATATATCATGGTAGTTGCAAAACCATCCGCCCGGAGTTCGTATTACATTTCTGCAGGATGATCAATAATTAGAGCACTAACGATCTTCTCGAAATTTCTTTTGATTTTTTGGCGTTATTTGCAAATCATATCTGCCCCATTGTGATTTCATCAAAAAATGTGGGAAAAGGTGTGAAGCGAGAGAAGCATCAAAACGTTATTCAAGGAGAATGTCCAATTCAAGTTTTTTATGTCATCGCACAGCAATGTTCTCCTTTAGAGTTATCCCCCTTGGAATTTTGTGCAGCTGCCGTCAAGCTCTTTTTACCTGGCTTTGTGCTTGGTAATCCAAATGAATAGTGTAACAGTGAAGACTTGGTTCCGATTAATGAGGATCTCAACCACTTATTCAACCCATTTCCACACGTTCTGACCCAGTGTTGTTTCTGAACGTCTGTCGCGTGACAGTCAGTTGAAAAGTGTCAGGAATATATTGGATCAAGTTCGGTGACTCTTTACATGAACCATCTATCTGTAGTGAGGCGTCAACTTTCATATTTTTGAATAGGCCAGAATTAAAAGAGAACCTATTGTTCCACTAAGAGAAGGTGAACCTTGAGTGTGCAAGGCGATAGTGGACATTTGAAAGTTTTCACTCCATACTATGGTTCTGAAACCAAAATATTCGCAGGCAGTATGCATCGATTTTAGTAGAACTGAAGCCATGACCAGCGATTCGATAGGCTATTAATCATATTATTGTTTTTGAAGGTGATACTTGATCGTGGCCGCCTCCATCGCATCTGATTGATCGATCTCCACAAATGTCATGGATTTTCAAAATCGAGTTCAAAACTATTTGTTCATGATGATTGGCATTTGGAAACGATGTGCTTTGAGATAGTTAGGCAAAGGCGAAGATTAAAATGTTTTTTTCGCCAATACTTATAGAAATATCTCGAGAAACGTGATCCATAAGGGGAATGGTGATGTGAGCTACATACTGATACTTGGATGACAGCATCTTGTAATCGCGGCGTCAAAACCCTAACCTTGTTCCCGCTCTCCGTTCAGCAGATTGAGGTCCTACGAGAAAATTCTCAATTCGAGTCCGGGTGAATATGAATCATTTATCTATGAATCAATCAAACTCAGTTATGGATAAGTCAAAATTGTCAACTTCTAGTCACCGCCTGAATCAGTACAATTTGACCACATACCCGGTAACGGGTTATCTTGCAGATATTGTGTCGTTTCTTGGTAGAGATCGTGCTGCTCCTTCACAATCCTCCGCTTGTTGGATCTCATTGACAAAAAAACTCGGAAACAACTTCTATTGTATCTCACCGTAATCGCACAAACTCTAGTCCGTTCTCAGATGAGTACGTCGAAGTTCCTTAAAAAAATCACGCCTACCTAAGGGATGAGGAAATTTTGTATTGGTGGCTAAATAGGATGAAGCATTCGTTGGGAAATAATTATTGGAATGTTGAGAAATTTTGCATATTTCGAAGCAATTCTGCAATCTGAATACCACGCCCTACTCGCCTCCTATGGGATTGAGGAGGATGGTAGGCAGGACCTGACTGAAAACACGGAGATGAAGTGAGGCTAGCTCTGTAAAACGCGGGTCGTTCTTGCCCCATTTCTCATTGGTTTATTGGTTTGTTGTTTGACAATCGCAAAAAAAAACAATTTACGTTGAATATGTACCAAACATGGTTTTGGTTTTTTAATCACTTCATGCAACTCACCAGAAGAATTTTTTATTTTCCTTGTTTTATTTTTTTTTCTTTTTTTTTTTTTTATTTTTTGAACCAAACCATTCAAGTGACGCTCGCAAGTGGCGTCTCATATATAGGACTGCAACAAATAGCAAAAACTTAGAACATCTACAAAAAAATGCCGACCTTGTTTTGCAAATCTCCAATGGACAGCATTTCACCCAACTTCCGGAACAATTCACACTTTCCTAAGCTGCCGATATGCTCCGCATTTTGCGGGAAATCGATCCTATTGGAGAAGGATTCGTCCCAATAATAGTCCTAGAGATCCTGAGCGCATGTCTGTTTTAAATGAAGAGCGTTATAAGCACCGCCACTGCCCGACGGCGTGACGTTCAATTCGTAAAATCGTGACGTGGTGTGCTCAGTTTCATCAACCTCGCCCCCATTTTCGCCAATCAAAAATTGTCATAAAGTGGTGTAATAGTTGAGAAAAAGGCACGGAATAATATATTTCGAGGCACGAATAATGAATGCGTAATGGAAGGCGGATGGATGCCAGCAGTGCTAGTGGAGTGCACTGGTAAAAGACGTTCATCATGTCGTGGTGTTTTTCTAGAGTGAACGACCGTATTCTCTCAGCCAACGGCGTGTCATTCGAGAGCATCGACTATTCGAGCGCTGTCGACATCATTAAGAACGCTGAACACATCAATATGGTAAGCTTTTTTATAAGTATCGTAGTTCTATAGTAGAGTTCTACTACTCGCTCTGATTCCTTCCGATTTTTTATGAAGTAGGTTCAGGTTTCAGGCCTTGCTTTGTTTGTCAACTGCTATTTTACGCCGCAGTTGTTGCTAAAGTTTCATAAGAGTGCTGATTTAGAACAAACCCTTGCCATAACTACCCCAGGCGGGATTCGAACCTGCATTTCTGGTCTATCGGCAATTATGCTACCACTTTGGTCGCCATTTCCCTTAGGTCAGCTTGTGGGTATTTAGCATAGTTTAAAAATACCCGCATGTCTACTATGATAAGCGTGGGACGCAGGTACGAATCCCGCCTGAGGTCAAGGTTTTGCGCATAGTTCAGCATTGTCGTGTCTGATTCAAGCTCTCCATTCAGTGCTATTCGCAGTCAAATGAAGCATTTCAAGGAGGTGAACGGCTTAAAAAAGAGGGCCTAAATTAAATAGTTTTTTTTTCAGAATTATTCACATTTAATGGTCTTTATCAATTGTATAAATACAGTGCCTTGTTCAGCGCCTTGCTTAGATTTTTGGTGCCTGCGCGCTTGAGTCTGGTTGGTTTTATAATGAGCTGCGATGCAATGCACTATTAATGTTTGATGAAAAACGATGGATACCTGAAATCACTAAATTAATTCGAAGTGGCGAAATCACTCTGTCATCCAAAATGGGAACTCTCGCCTGCACACTCTACTGAGAACCTCTTTTGATTCCCATTTTGAACAAGCAGAGAGTGTTCCGCCTGTACTGCCTAATTCAATGTTTTCAGATAGATATCATTCACTTCTAGAATACTTATAGTTTTTCCCTTTTCCTTTTTCCTTTTTTGCCCCTTTTCCCTACTTCTTCATTTAGTAAGGATTCTTGAATCTGCGATCTCATTTTTGTATAGATGACCCTCGGGAAAGCGTTCCAATTCGAATGGTTGTGTGCTTGAGATTAGATGTGGTCCATCTTATTACGCCTTGTCACGAAGATTTTCCTGGGCATCTCATCGCTGGTAATTTTAGTCATGGTTGAGCAAATTGTACGAATTCATGAGCACGTGTTGCGTTTTTCGTAGAGTTCGTCAAAGGAGAAGCTGGGCGAGTTTAAAGTGTAAGACTAGGATTCAGTCTGGAAGTGAAGTGGTTAGAAAAATCTGACTGCTGCCAGGAATGTAGCCGATCTTCCAGCTCTCATTGCTCGGAATAAAGCAGGACCTATAAAGCAATATGCCTTTTCCTAGGTCGAAATGTGTGTGGAGGGGGGGGGGGGGCAGGGTGCTTAAGTCAAACGCGCTTTTCGTTCCATTCCTTTTGATCGATTGATTCCTTTTTTTGATTGATCGGCCTTTCGATAAAATTTGAGTGGAAACATACAGCCACCTTGTATCCGCAATTCGTCGTATAGTACACGTACCATCCAGATACTCTGTCACTTCGAATGGAAGTCGAGTGCTTGGCGTATCCTGAAAAAGATTTGTTACCGCTAAGCATTCAGCGTTGCTAATGTAAAGTGCGTTAAGAAAGCAAAGCTATCATAATAAAGTTTCATTTATAGTCGTTTTTAAGGACAGGGTTGTGAGCATGAGCTCAAAAGCCTATGATTTTTTGGTAGACACCTCGAGAAACCTTTTTTCTTGAACCGAACCGTTCTGCGTTCAATGGCGCTTCACTTCATTTTTCTAAGGCTCTAAAGCTAAATAAATGTTCCATAACATTTTCGGTTAACTTGATTGAAAATGGTGGCAGAATATTTGAAATCTTCTTTTTATTTGCAGCATCTACTGATTTCTGTTATAAGAGGGTTGTATTTTAGAATTGTTAAACGAAGAGTGGCGATGCCTATTATGGAGTTTGAACAGCGCACATTAAAATTTACGCTGTCTAAATCGAGAAAGAAAGATGGTCAGTTTTATTAAGCTTATTGAAAGATCTATTTCTTTGTCCTGATTTAAACGTGACTTCTGCTAACCTAAATGTAGTGTCTTACATTGAGAGGATGACGATATGTGGCAGGAAAATTATGTATATGACACATTCTTTTCGATATTTTTTTGTGGCGTTCCTTCGCAATTTTTTATCTATTAATGTGTCTGTGTCATATTTTATTTTGAATCTTTTTCTATGGTCATCAATACATGCATTTTTGTTAACTTTTTTATTTTATCATATTTATAATTCTGCATTTTACCATTCTATTTCTATTTCAGATTTCGGTATTGTATTAGGCTGCAAATTCTATATTAAAGAGATTCGAAATCCGAAATTAGCAGAGAAGGTGAGCAGTGGAGCTCTCATTTTTTCTCGACTTTTCCTTCGAATAAATTTACCAATCAAGATTAAAGGTACAGTATCCCTTTCTCCTTTTAGGATCCAGGATTGAGAGAAGGTGACTCTGTGCTCCGGATAAATGGGCAAAGTGTCGATGGATCGACGCTTGAGGAAGTGAATAAATGGCTGGAAAGGTGATTATTTTCGGAGGCAATACCAACAAGAATCAATTTGTTGGAGTTGGTGTTTTTCAAGAAAAAAATCTCTGCGTTTATTTATATTTGAGGAGCTATTGTCCCGTTTTTCTTCCACTTGTTCATCTTTATATCCCTGTTATTAGTCACTCCTGAAGAATAGGGGAAATATTGAAGAATAGGGGAAACGGAAAAGAAAAGAGTCCTCTAAAAACCAAATCCAATTTCATGAAAAGGAATTTAATTAAACTAACTTAATGAATTCATTTTTTTCTCAATTGACATCCATTAACTTGGATTTTGGGCGGGTTTCTCGGGCTTTCGACTAACCGTAAGATTGGTTTAGTTTGTCTTATTTCGGCTTAGTCTGAGCCCCCTTAGACGAACTTTTTCAGTCAGTAACATTTTCATTTATGATTTGTTTCTTGTAGATGTTAATATGATAATGTGCTGATTTCAGGTCACGAGAGAAATTGTGTCTTGTGATACAGCGTGATGTTCGTCGTGGGACGAGCAGGTGGCCTAGTCAAAATACGGTATATGAACGGGTGGGTTCGGTGTCGGCGACGCCACGACACAGTCCGAGCCCTATGATGCCGCATCAACCGCTATCACAGAGGTCAGTGATTTATGAATATAACTGTTTCGGAGAGTTCCAGAACAATGTGGGTATTTACTCAAGGAGTTACCCAGGTAGGTTAGAGTGGCAGGGGCAGTCTGTCATATTGCCACAAAATTACTGTAAATTTCAATTTTACAGATTCCCTAGGGGATAAGCCTAGGAGGGAAGGGACTCTAAAGTTACTGCGAATGTATTTTCATTATCTAAGGAGTGCCCTCACATACTATCCTTATGGTTAGGGGTAAACTTGGAGGTGAATTCAAGGGTCACCGTAACTCTGAC